ATCCTAACCATTCTATGATTCTATGAATACATATTTCAAAGAGGGATGTCTTGTGCAAAATGCTGTTTGTAGATAGAGGCTCATTGATCCTCTGAGTGAGTAGGATTCTCATCCCAAATTAGAGATCTAGGTGCTTAAACAGCAAAGGTCCATGGGACCATACGTAGGAGTAATCAGACTTGTTGGCAGCTGTTGAAAAGATCACTGAAAGAGTAGTTGAATGCAGACTTCTGGCTTCTAATGTTAGCTTCTTAAATGATAAGGCAAATAAAAGCTTGGCCGTTCCACTAAGGAAGCCTTTGCTGCATAGATTGATACAAGCTTGATTGAACAACAAATTGTGTTTTGTTATAGGTTAGTTCATGCATTATTTTAAGTGTATTTGAGATGTGCTTTAGCATCAGTTTCTAGATTCATTGTCCTACAGCTTTTGATTTTAGGAAGGTGTCAGGAGACCTCATAGGCCATCCCTTCCAGTCAGCTGCTTCCCTTGCAGATGGTTAAGGCTGGTTAAGGTGTATAGGATGCAGCTGTGTTTTTCAGATTCTAGCTGGCACAGGGTGAACAAATTTTATTTGCTTTGATAAAATGCTCATGTTTGCTTACAAAGTCAATGATGGGTAGTTTCTGCGTGCCGGCTTTCTGAGTGCAAACATGTTTTAAATGCGTTCTGATAATGATGCTGATATTACAAGCACCAGTGAGAATCCATTTGGGAATAATGTTCTTGTTACTGGTTTGGATGTATTATTCTTTCAGCAAAGACGTGCACATATGGAGCAGGTTGTACAAAGTTTGAAGTACCCTAATTAAAGTGTCAGTACCAGTTGTATTAGACTTTATGATTAAAGCTGAAACATGTATCTTTTCACATGTCCAAATAACACTGTTTCAAGTCTTTTTCCAGTTTCACCTACTGTTAATAGTCAAGCTGAATGTTACCTGCCTTCTTGGTTTCTTAAGATGCCTTAGCATTAATACTTCTTCAGCTTTTGCTCAGCTTTCAGTTGCCTGTCATCCCTTTGGTCATTCCTGTGTTAGTTTGACCTTCCTGTACACCTCTTTGAAGAACTCTTCAACCTCGAGTGATGTTTCCTCACGCATTAGTTTCTACAGGCTGCTGTTTGGCTCTGTCAGTCTGTGCAGGGAGTCAGGCTTCTTTCAAAGGTGGCTGCCCATCCTTCTGCTTCCCCCTGCCCTTCCTCCTCGCCCTGCGCTTTCCGTCTGGCAGAGAGAAGTATGTGTCTGAAATTATTCAAAAGTATTACTTGTATAGTAAACTGGTATTTTTTTCATTTGTACTTATGTTAAGAACTCTATATTTCTTTCTTAAATACTTTGTTTTTTATTTCATGTGTCTGTCTCTTCTGTGATGTTTTCATTTGGACATTGCTAAAGACTTGCTTCTGTTCAGAACTAATTATAACTCCTTGGATCATACAAGGTATTACTGTACAATACTAGTAAGGGAGAAAATTGCATCTAGTTTGTGATCTTGTAAGGTAGATCTGGGTTTCCAAATTGTGCAGATAAATCTGCACAGTAGACTCGAAATCTGTTGAATTACACTGCTGGTTGGAAGTGGTGCAACTCATAATGGGGTTGGCTTTCCTACAGCACATTTCAGCGGTGGTATATGTTCTTAATGTGCTCCCACTCCTCTTTGCCCTCCTGTTTTCTGTAACCACAACAGTATTCGCTGTTGGTCAGCCTCTTGAGGATATCATTGGCACAAGCATCCAAGAGGTATTTGGTATTCTCTGAAAGGGCCTGAAGGTTGCTGCTTTCTCTTCAACTGTTGGCTCCTTGTCTGGAGAATTTAGCTTAATGAAAGTATCCATGAGGGAGAGGAAATAAAGGCAGGCTAACATGAAGTATTAGGAGATCTCTTAAGACTTTTGTTTTTTACAAAGAGGTCGCAAACCAAAAATAGGGAGTGGAGACAGTGAAGACTGAAGGACATATGGTCTTTGGGAAATAGTGTTAAACTGTGTTAGACACATTTCAGTTGATAGGTCACATGGACACACGAACAAAAAATACTTTAATGTATAGAGGGCCTCAGGTATCATCTCTTAGTCTGCTACTTAGTCTCTTGGGAGTCATCCCTCCCTACTGCTTTAAAGATAACTGTTGCAAGAAGCTGGCTATTGCTATGTCTGTTTACCATGTCTTCTGCTTTGCTGGCTTATTCACAGAGAAGTAGTATCTCTGTTGCAGCATATTTGAAGAGCTCAACTAACAAGCTGTCTCAATGTTCATCTGAGATAGGAAGGTGTCTGTAAACCATTTTTGGTGATACAGAATTGAAGCACAGAGAAAAAGCTCTCACAAGGAGTCTGGCAAAGCAAAGAGCGAAAGGCGTTATCTCATGAGATGCAGCAGCAAAAAACTGTTAAGTGCTAACTAGAACTCTATAGTTTCTTTAAGTTAAAGTGTCTTAAAACTTTCTGCTTCATAATGCCTGTTTTTGAGTTTGCCAATTTGCCTTTTGTATCAGATTATTTTAGAAAGTTTAAATTATGTGACTAAGCTCACTAATTAACAGTGGTGTTGGATATAATGATGATAATCCTCTTTGTGCCGTTTCCTAGATGTAGTGGCCCCACAGGGAAGCGCCAAGCTGCTGGCCATCAAGGCACCAGCTGAATTTCCTAAAATGTTGTCTTCTAGCTCTCTCCTAGTATCTGCAAACAAAGGTGAGAGCACATCTAGTAGTAACCTCGAGGAAGCTTCAAAACCTTCTGCTGAAGACGTGAGGATGTTCATGTCAAGAAAAACTGTGGTTGCATTTCCTCAGCGAGTAGTAGTTTCTTCCCTTGAGGAGGAAAAACTCACTACACCTGGAACAGAAGGAGGCCTGAGGAAAGAGTTAGTTGAGGAAGAAACTTCATCTTCATCCAGCTCAGATTCTAGCTCAGATTCTGAGGAAGAAAATGATGATTCAGAAGTTGCCATTAAAACCAAAGTTGAGTTTCCTAGACGAGATTCCATCTTTTCTGAGAACATGGCAATAAAGGCACAAATGCCAACAAAGGAGAACTTATGCCAGAAATCCCACAAAGAATATGTAGCTAAGAAGCCACGCAAAACAGAAAGCTATGTGTCTCCTGTCAAGCAGGTCGCATCTTCTGAAACATCAGTCAGCCATGAAACATCAAAATCCAGAGCAAGAGACCTCAAACTAAAATCAACTCCAAAAGAAGCCGCTCGGCAGAAGCTGGTCTTACAGCCACACATGGTTAAAAGCCAAGACCTGACCGATGTCACTCATAAATCTGATTATCTGGACGAAAAGTCCATTAGAACCCAAGTAGCAGCTATTCAGCTGAAAGCATCATCAGTGATTCAGGAAGACAAAAAGCAAAAACTGGTACCCAGAGGAGATGGAAAAAAGGTGGAGGCGGCACAGGAATCGGAAGCAGAAGTAACTGCTCCTAAGCTGGAAGAAGAGACTTCTGAAAGCACAATGTTGGTGATGGGCACTACAGCAAAGGAGGAGATGATTCAGGAAGCAGGAGTCCAGGCTGGAGAAAGCAGCGCAATAGAGGGTACAACTTTAAATTGTTTGAACTGTATTGATTCATTTGAAAGGGTTTCCAAATCTTCTCTGTTTATGACTCTCTGATCTTTATACTGAAGCTAACCGTGTAGCAGTGACTTTCTGGAAGATAAATTCTTTTCCATTGCTAATTGTTACAAGCACTCAGTAATACTCCGTTTCCAGTTATGCTGTGAAAGGAAGCTGTCTTTATTTCACTCTATTAATGGTTTCATAAACCTGTTACTTATAAAATGAAAATAAGTTTGTTTCCACTATGAGCAATATAGTGAGGTTTGTATGACAAAACTTGTTTTCCCTCTTTTCTTTTCTCGGAAGGATTTGGTAGCTGTGTTTCTCCTGAGCCAAATTTCATGCCATCTAACTGTGGTTAAATCCTGCTGCTGTCTTCTTTTTTAAAAAAATAATCTTGTAGTTTTCAAATTTCAGTAGACTTCAAGAAATCATAGTGTAATGCCAGAAACAGGTATTGATTTTGACACTGGTAGGTTGTAAGCAAGTCCTGTTGAAGTAGCACAGAGTTGACCTTATAAACCAGTTTTTGTAGTGAGTTGGGGAGGAGACAGTGATGTGTTTTAAGGAAGAGCATCATGCACCATATAATCATCTCCCTCGCCGTGCTTCCCTACCTAACTTACCCTTCTTATTTACTACCAGTCTTGTTAACTTAACTACTGATCTCATGCTGTGTATTTCAACAGCAAAGGCCTCTCTGTCCTGATCTGTGGTGGCTTACCATTCTCACCTTTCAACTTTGGCAGCATACCAAAACTGGTTGCTGTTTTACATTAAAGAATTTGCCTACTTGGAAGTAAAAACACCATAATTGTAAAGCTGCTTGGATGTCATCCTTCAAGCGATATCCTTGCAGGAAAGGCTCCGTCCAGATGGACTGCAAGTTGAACATGAGCCAGTGATGTTCCCTTGCAGCAAAGACCACCAGTGGTAGCCTGGGCTGTGTTAGGAGGAATGTTGCAAGCAGGCTGAGGGAAGTGATCCTTCCCTGGTGATATGCACCTGGAGTGCTGGGTCCAGTTCTGAGATCCCCCGTACAAGAGAGACATGGACATACTGGAGAGAGTCCAGTGAAGTGCCACAAAGATGATGAAGGGACTGGAGTATCTCTCCTGTGAGGAAAGGTTGAGAGAGCTGGGAATGTTCAGCCTGGAGAAGGCATAGGGAGGATCTCATCAATGTGTACGTATACCTGAAGGGAGAGTGCAAAGAAGACAGAGGTAAGACTCTTGTCAGTGGTACCCAGTGACAGGACAAGAGGCAGTGGGTGCAAACTGAAACACAGGGTTTTGCCTGAACATGAAGACACACTTTTTTTTTTTAACTGTAAGAGTGATTGAGCACTGGCACAGGTTGCCCAGAGAGGTGGTGGAGTCTCCATCCTTGGAGACATTCAAAAGCTGTCCAGACATGGTCCTGGGCAGCCTGCTTTAGCTGATGGTGCTTGAACATTTGGGATTGGACCAGCTGACCTCCAGAGGTGTCTTCCAACCTTAGCCATTCTGTGACTCTGTGAATTGTCTAACCAGGTTAAGTGACACATGATTGCTTTTGTACATCTGTTTCCAGGATACAGTGCTGAGTAAAAGACCTGCCTTCTGTTTTAAGGGGTTAGTTGGCTCATAATTTGATCTGTTTTAAGAGCTGTAAGCTAAGTTTACCTTCTTCCCTGACTGCAACTCAAATAGTAAAATGCAGCACCCTTTTCAAGTGACATTTTCATTTACTTGTCCCTCCTTGCAGTCAGCAGCAGAAGCTTTCTTTAAAAAAAGAAAAAAAAAAAAGTTGGGAAAGGCTATTTGTGATTATCTACAGATGAAGCTTTTCTCCCCATTCATCCACAGCTGAGTTCTAGATGTTCAAGCATTATTTTTTTTCCACATTGAAGCTGATATGAAGACCCAAAAAATTTAGTTCAGTAAGCTTCAAGTGTGAGAGGGATGACTTGGCCTTCAAATGTGATAATGATTCAAGGTGAAGATTATGACATCAAAGATCTATGGAACAGCCTCCCTTACTCTGATGCTGTAAATGCAGAATAAGGTTAAGCCTATGTGACAAACTTTTCTTGCAGATCTGTATCGATGGGGCAATAGTACCACTGTGCCTCAGACCCATCATCATCATGACCACACCAGTAAAAACCTTTTGGGCTTTGCTGAAAACGGCACTTTTGCTGTTGAGCTCCTCTTGCTCTGTGGAGGTGGTCAGGCTGTGGCAGCAGGGAAGTTTCTGTTGGGTACATGCTAGAGGATTCTGCTGCAGTGGCTGTAGGAGAGGTGGGGGTTAGTTCAGGCAAGTTCACACCCCTTTCCTGTTGCTGTAATGTCTTTGGATGCCAGGGCTAGCGGAGAGTCAAACCTAGCTACACTGTGTTCAGCAGCGCCGCTGGAAACCCCGGGCGTTATCTCCTCGCCTCTTCCTCCTGAGGCCTTTTTTGAGAACAGCTACCGCTTTTCCATGTTTAATGTTCACAGTTAGTGATAATACCTTCTGTAATCTGTACTTCTGTCCTGTCCCTGGGTTCTTTTGTTTGTCTGCAAACCCTGCAGCAGGCACACTGAAGATGTAAAAGCAGTTTTTCCCATGACAAACATGGATGTTAAGGTGATGTCATCCACTTTGTAGAGCAGGCATGCTAAACAGTCAGCAAAAACTGCTGACTTTACCTGCTAAGTAAGTAGCAAAATAGTAGCATGCTAACTCGGAAATATAACTCTGATTCATTTCAAAAGAACATCCTGTGAAATGCTTGCTCTTTAAGAGTGAAAGCATAGATGAAGTCTGGAGTAGGAGGAGGATGAACTCGGGCGTAAATTTTTCCTTTGAGAAGCCAAGTACAGTGTATTTGGGCAGGAAATCCATCTGCTTTTCTTCCTGAGCATCTGTCTCTTAATTTGGAACAACTGTCTCCTGCAGGTTGAATGTACACTTGCCTGTTCTTGGGGCTGTTTGCAGCGAAGGCCGCATCACCTGGCTTTTGTGTCTGTAGCGTTGTCTCTTGTGAGCTCTCTCAGTAGGCGCTGAGCAGTAGGCACAGGGATATTTCCTTTCAGAGGTTGTGTCTGTTGTTCTGCTGAAACCACAGCTCACTACATCGCGTTTTATAAGCAAGTCTTGCTACATGTTATGGATACGTGCTCTTAACTGATAGCATTACATTGTAATAGTTATGTCATAATTCAAGGGAAATCCTGTTGTTCCGTTGCGGGAGTTCTTGTATTTTTATTGTAGGCAGTTGTGTTACAAAAAGAAGCTTAATATGATCTAACCTAAACCACTACACACAAATTTATATGACAAAGCTTTTCACTAGATTATGCTTATGACTCTCCTATTGTTAAATTCTGAGTATATGAGAATAAATTAATATTGGGAGTAAAGTTTTATTTCTTGCAATTTCCTTGGTTGTAAAATCGACCCGTAACAGGAACCTTTTATAAAAATGGTACTGCCTAAATTTCCATAATATTCTAACAGTGTAAGAATTATCGTTGGCTTTAATGTGAAGTAAAGGAGTTCTGAATAACTTCAGTAGGTTATTCTTTTAGAGAAAAGAGCTGATACAAAGTTTAGAAGATTACATGTAGCAGAAAGGAAACTTTCATCAAAGGCTGTTGATGTATTACTGTTCAGTGTAACCACATTTGAAATTAAACTGTGAAGATCTCAATAATTCCATCACTTCTCTCCATGGAAAAAAAAAAAATCAATCAGTAAAGTAGTTCTAATAGCTGTATCCTGTGGTCTGACAGGATGATAGATCATTTGTACTGCTGCATTGCCTCTCCTGGCTTGCTAAGTGTCACCTACTGTTCTGGCTGGAGTGAAAACCAAGGCAACTATGGAAAAAGCCAGGAAATGCAAATATATGTTCTTCAAAATATAAATTAGATGTTCTGCCCTGTCCTCCCCTAGCATTAGATGGTAGTTTGGATTTGAAAACCTGTGCTGTATTAAATGACTTGTACTGATTCCTGTTCCCCTACTGCATACTAATGTGCTGCTTTGGGACCAGACAAGGTACCAGCAGAACTTAGTAAACTTATCCTTTTGTTATGGTTGCTGAGGGGTTTTTTTTCTTCTTTTTTTTTTTTTCTCTCTTAATGTTGACTTGATGAGAGAGCTGACAGTATATGAAGGCTGGCTCAGTAATTAAGAATATTGCCCTCTGGTGTGGCATCCTTGTAGTCACCACTTACTGTTTGTTTTCACAGAGACCACAGCAGCTGCTGAGCCTGCTCCAGAAGAATTTGATAATTCTACCTACAAGAACCTTCAGCATCATGAATATAACATTTATACCTTTGTTGATTCTGTTGTGGTTCTCTCAAAATTCAGGCAGCCTCAGCCATCTTCTGGAAGACCATCACCAAGGCACTGAAGGAACCACATTTAAAACAAATATCCAGGCATAATGATAAATTGTTCTAATTAGCACTGTTGCTTCATCTGTATTATAAATCAGATAATTAATAAATGCATGATAACTTATGCTTGTGCTTTTGAACAGTTCTTGGAGTCCCTTACTTCTTGGCTTTTATGAATGAGCTGCAAATGAATCATCACTGAATAAAAATAGCTTTTCTACCTCTCAGTATATATTAAAAATCCTGACTTTTCAGTGTCTCCAAACTTTTGATACTGACTGTTCTTTCAGTACCTTGTCAAAGAACTTCATGACCCTTGCGTGTGTCTGTTAAGTATGTGCCATGATTTTAGTAGGTGTTGTTATCACTGTAGTGCAGTGAGCTGTTCTCCCTGCACACAGACGTTGTTCCCAGCTCTAAAGAGGTCTGTTTACTCTGGATTTGAAGTTAAAATTATTGGCTGGAAACAGCATAAGGAGTATTTGTCCCCTGTGGCAAGAGTGTATGTTTTGTGTTAGTGGAGGAATGTAAGTTTATGTAATGTGATTGAAACATCTCAAAACCTCTGCTGTTGTAAAGGGAGAACATACAACTTCATTTAATCTTCTGTTGGGGGTTCTAGCATCCAGGTTCTGCAGTAAATGAAATAATTTAAAATGTCAGAGAATCTCAGTGGGCAGTTCCTAATGAACTATACTATATTGATTAAACTTTGAGAAATAACGTATTTCTATGGGCAGAATCACTTGAATGTTATTTTTAAATGTGATTAAAATAGTGCTATGGTAAAATCAGTTCCTGGTACTAATTGTTCAGTGGGACTACATTACAGTTCCTACTTCCTCCCCACCGTAAAAGTTAAGATTGCTGTCCAGCTTCACTCTCACTCTGCAGAAGATGTGAGAAATGAGGCACTTCTCAGTATATGTTATCAGCCGTTACAGTTGGTCTCAGTAAATTTTTGTATTTCCATCCTATTAGTAACAGTCTTCTGCCCTCTGGGAAAACTGCCTTGATGACCACCAGCTGTTGTGGGTTTAGTTCCATTTTGGCTTCTTGTTCAGTTTGGGTTTTTTGGTGTTAATTGGTCTTTTGAGCAGTTGTACTTGCAATAGCTCCAGCATTTTCCATCACCTGTCTGTATTCTTTCAAGCAACAGAGTACGCAAGATCAAAGGGAAAACGGAGTCGGCTTTAGGGGTCTATCTGGATATCGGACGCAAATCCCTGGGTGCAATTAGTAGAACAGCTATTTTATACTCTAACTTGGCAAAAATGTGGTAAGAAGGATCAATCTGCTGTGTAGAATTTTAAGTCAGAAACCTCTGGCAAGCAATTTTATTGTCCTGTAAAAACTAAAAAGCATATTACTGACTCTAACTATGAAATTTAAAAATCAGCAAATGTATAAATCCATGTGCTTAGGAGTAAAGAGCAGAAAGTCACTTTGAGACACCAGTGGTACCACGTTCACTGTACTTGTAAAAGGGAAAGAAATTTGCTATTAACAGTAAAAACATGAAAGAATAAGGAAAAGGGTCTTCCTTTATTAAGAGCCCACTGGAGGGCCCCAGTAAAGCTGCTGTGTTTTGTTATTAACTGAGATTCCGTGAGTAACCTGAACCCTGTAGCTTAGATCTGTGCTGGTGCTGAACTGTGTTCCTCACTATTTGTCTTGTGGTCACGGAAGGAGGCTGCAAATTGTCAGATACAATCTAAACAGTAAAAATTCAGTGTAGTCTATTAATATGCTTGTGTATTTACTGAATCTACCCACAGTAGCTGTGACTGTCAGCTGTTTGGAGTCAGACTGGTTCACCTAGTGCCCTTTGCATTTCTAAGGAGGGTTGGTGTTATAAAAACTGACTTGATCAGCTAAAGAGGAGTGGGTTGAAACAGAAGTGTGTCCTGCTTGCAGTCAACTCCTACACTCTCCTTAGCTGCATTTCTAGATATGGAGATTCTAATCTGTATTTGGGCTAGGCATTTTTCTACCCTTGTTTCTCAATTACAGACAAAATTAATGGTGAATGCCCTTCCTATCTGTGTAATCCTGTCTCAGTGTCTTCCCACTGATCTTTTCTACACCTCTAAAATCAAGCTGGAAGTCAAATAACTTCCTAGCTCTTCTAGTACATACAGTGCATGTCTTAGGTTTGTTCTGTTCAGTCAACCAGTCTGCTGTGGGAAGGGCAGATAACATGAGGAAGGGCACCAGGACTTTTTCCCACTGTTGTGTTTTCCTGAACTTCAATGAAACGGGCTTCATTTTTTTTGTACTTGGCTATTATCAGATGTTATTGTGTTTCAGTCATATGCTACCATTTAAGTTTCAAGCAGGATGTGATACAACATGCTCAAATGCTGTAACGTTCGTAGCTTTGTATTGCTGTGCTTGTCAGATACAGCCGGGGACCTTGTTTTAAAGAATGTATAATCCAGGATATTAACATAATTCCTGGAAAACCTCAAATGTGAAAGAAATTAAGTCTCAGCATAGTTTTTGTGAAAACCAGCTCTTCAGAACCAGCATGAACTTCAGAAGTGGGGTTTTCAATGTAAATAGTGTTACTGCGGGAGTACATGAAAATCTGAAAGTGAAATTCACTAACTTCTCCTTGAAAAGATGAAGCAACTACTTTCCTTGTCAGAGAGAGTGGTTTTCAAACTTTAGGTCCTCTGAATTTTTTTTAGTTTAGTAAACTGCTAATAAAATTGCTTTTCATAATTTCCTTCCACTTAGATCCTTCCAAAGTAACTTATGAGTCCAGAAGGTTCTGGACAGCAGTCAAAACCCCACTAATCCAAGGTCCAGAAGTAGCAATGGAAGCAGAGTTTGTAGTGATGACTTCAGTTATTAAAAGGTCAAGATTTTTTTGGTCTTCCTGGTGCTTCTTTTGGAATCAAGTCATGATAAGCACTGCAGTCTGTATGGCTATCTTAAAGATTTATTTTAAATGTGGGAAGTGAGACTTCTAACTGGATGCACTTACAGACCTTCTACAGTGTGTCCCCAGCTTTCAACAATCAAAACACATTGGGTGCACCTCACTCTGGTTTCCTGTAAACGCATAAACCATAAAAAACTGTCCTTAGTCTTTTCTCCCACCACAAGATATGCCATGATCTAAGCTGCTTGTACAATTATGTCGAGTCTGCTCTTAATATGTGATGAAAAAAATGGTGAGAAGTTTTAAGGCTATCTTGGGATAACATGCAATTCTTCCTTCAGCTACTCACAGTAATGAGAATGTGAGCTGAGAACAGTCACTAGTCTTCAAGGTCCATAGAAGAGCAGGACTTCTCAGCTTTATGCTGATCAGAATCCCACGGCTTATAGAGTGCTGGGGTGAGGTTTTGTGATCCCGTGTCATTTGGGAGGAAGAGTAGGAGAAGCTGGTGACAGCAGATGCTTGTCTGTTCCAAACAGTTTTAATTCCTGGTGAGTGCCATCAATGACCATTGTGCAGCGAGTGAGTAGAAAGCGTGCTCGTTGTGTCCCGCAGCATTGGAACATTAGAATCGTGCAAATTGAGGTTGGAAGGGAAGTCTTGAGATGATCAGTCCTCTGCTCTGTAGCAGGTGCTTTTAGATCACGTAGTCCTGGACTGTCTGGTTGTTTTGAATATCTTCAAGGAGGGAGATCCTACAATCTCTTTTGTCACTTTCTCCAGCATTTGAACACCCTCATGATTTAAAAAACAAACAAATAAAAAACCCAGCAAGCAAAACCTTTACCTGTTACTGAATTGGAATTTTTAGGTTTTCTGACACTGATCCTTACTACACGCCTCTGACAAGCCTGGCTTTGTCTTTTCTGTACCTTCCAAGGAGGTAGTTGAAGGTATTAATAAGGTTCCCCTTATTCTCTTCTTCAGACCAGATAACCTGTGTTCCTTCAGGCTCATCTTGTGCGACATACTCCAGGCCCATCTGCACCTCTCTGTGGTCGCAGTGCACCCTTGGCGCATCCTGCTCTGTTCTGTAGCAGCGCAGGTTACCTAAGTGGTCTCTGTCTTCCTCCCCATAGTTTATGCTTCAAGGTAGAACATTCTAGAAGGGAGCTTGTGTTGGTTTTCCTCATTTTTAGTGCGGAATCCAACATAGTGAACGGGAAGGGACCTGGGAGACTCACGTTCCTCAAAACGCTACATAGCGACAGTAATGCCAGGCAGGTTCAGGTCCACACCGTGTCCCGCTGTGAAAACAAACAAAAAATCTTGGAATTGTTCTTGGCCCCAGTATTTGCTACCTGCCTGCGATTTACAGCCCTCGTATGCTGCTCTGTATTGTGTGCTGCTCTTTGCCTACAGAGTTAGACAAAAGGAACTAAGACAACAAGGGTAATATAGGCACTTCAGTACAGGTCCTTTGAACAGCTGAGTGATTGATTTCACAACTATAGTGTTCTTGTATTGTGGCTTGCTTTGTTTATTTATTTTAATTTATCCTTTGAGAGAAACTCCTCTAAACTCTGGATGATTTTAATTAAACTCTTAGGAGTCGGAACAAAATATCCCATCAAGTTTCCAGATCATCCTTCTCCTCTCATATGGTCCTATTTCATTGAATTATAAATACTTATCTTTTCTATGATTCTGTGGTTTTGGTGCTTACATGTTATCCTGAGTGTTCAGCTCAGGATGATACTGCTCCAAATACAATCTGTAAGGTATTTTTTCCTTTTTTTTTTCTTTTTTTTTTGGCCTGTACACATTCAATTCCGTTTGGAAATTCACACACACCTCTGAAAGTCGTGGGATATAGATAGCAGCTTTGGGATAGAAAAGACTGTGTTAATGCATAGTTAGGGACATAAGTTTAAGCACGTGTGTTTATGATAATATACTATCCATCAAACTTTGGGTCAGTGTATGGAGTCAGTGGGTCAGCTCTCAAAATGTGTTTTGTTCTCCTCCGCTCTCTCAACAAATTTTTAACTGCAAGACAGGAACATGGTTCTGTAACTCTGTACTATCACAGAATCTAGCCTATATGCATGTTAACTTCTAATA